CAACGCGTTTTCCCCCAGGACAACGTGTTTCCCCAAGAACCACAGCCCGGTGGTGCCCAGCGCCTGCCCGCCGCCCCCTTGGGCTGCCCCTCTGCAGCGCCGTGCCGTACCTGTGCCATCGCCCATGCCCGTGTCCTCGGGGCCCTGGCGGAACGAGGTGGATCTCTGCAGGCTGCCCTTGGGCTGGTGCTTGAAGATGGAGGAGGAGAGCTCCTCCAGGCTGCAGCCCAGCAGGTAGGCGGCTTTCTGGGCCCACTCGTGCCGCGCAAACTGCTTCCTCCCGGCTGCGGGGCACAGTGAGAGAGGGAGACTCAGCGCCGGCCAGGGCGGGTTATCCTGGGGGATACAGGGTCCCTCCTGCCAGACCTGGGATGCTCCCAGGTCCTCCCTGAGAGAAGGCTGGGGACACGGGGTGGCAGGTTAAAGCCACCCTCATGGCAGGGATGTGAAGCACAGCTGGGGCAGCGGGAGCTCAGGGCTTTGCACATTAGCACAGGGGTGCCAAGCGCTGGGGCGCAAGGACTGCGGATCTGGCATCGGGATGCAGAGGGTTTTGCATCTCGGCAAGGCTAACGTCAGATGTGCCATGGGCTAGGGATACAGGATCACCTTCCTACTCCTGTGCACAGCCGGTGGGACAAACAGGGCCTGGATCAGGGCCATGGAAGGTCCCCCCACAACAGTGCTGGTCATGGAGACCCCCTGGTGCAAGGACCCAAATCAGTGCTGCCCATAGGACACAGCACAGCCGCTGGGCACAGGCACCTGGGTGCCGGGGAGAGGGCAGGGGAGCCAGGAGTGGGTTAATGGGGACACACAGGGACATGGCAGCGGGGAGGCAGACGGGACAGGGGAGCGAGACACGCGCAGAGAACAGGACTTTACCTTCGTCGGCGTCTGCATTGCAAAGGGGCAGCATGCACCATGCGAACAGAGACAGGGGTTAGAAACAACAGCACGTGGCAGCGCGACACGCGGCACAGGGACCCCCTTCAGCCGAGACACCGCGACACCGCGCGCACGCCGAGCCCGGCTGCCTTGCCCTGGCACAGCCTGTGGCTGGGGGCATCGCCGCACCAAGATGCTGGTACCCGGGCGAGAGCCGGCGTGGGTGCCAGCCTGGGATGCTCCCTCCTATGCCCTCTGTGAGCACCTGGCTGCACCGTGGGTGCTGGCACTATGCTGGGGAGCCCCATGGGGCCAGGTACAGGCAGCAAGTGCCTAAGGAAAGAGCCTGGAGTGTCTGGGCTGACCCTGGGCATCCCCAGTTCTCAGGGAGAGGCAAGGAAGGCACAAGGAGCGAGGCCTGGGAAGCTCTCCCCGTGGAGCAGGACCCGGGATGCTCTGGAGGAGCGGGATCTGGGATGCTCCGGAGGAACAGGGCGGGCGCAGTCTCCGGCTCCGCGCACATCCCCGTGGCGCTCGCTGCAGCAGGGCCCTGCTGCCCTCTAGTGCCTCGAAGCGCCCCATGGGCGAGCGCTGCGCCCCGCAGCCCCCCGGCACGGCGACCCCTCCGAAATGCAGCGTTACAGGGGTCTCCCCCTGCTCAGCTGCATCTTGCCCTCTCAGGGCTGCACAACCCCTCACACCACTTGGTGCAGCCAGGACCTCCAAGTGCCCGTTCCGGACACACCGTCTCCGGGCCGTGCAGCAAGCCAGGGTCCCACAGCTTGGGGGAAACACCGGGACCCCCGGGGAGCAGAGTGGTCATGAAGGGACCCCGAAGCCCTGCAAAGCCCAGTCTGCTGCCCCTCTGCGCTGCCTCTCGCACCCCGTGCCCCATCCCAGCCATGCCCGGAA